TCCAGGCTAATGATAGGGTGACCCTGTTCTTAAGCGTGCTGCAAAATCTGCATGATCACCATGGTAACTCCGAAGGGGTCAACCCAGGTCAACAGAGACCTTCAAGTGGCTAGTATCGATTTTAATCCTGTCAGATGGGGTGACACTGCATGGCCTGTTGTGTGTGTCACTGCAAGTCGTAGACATTTTTTGGTAAAGTTATGTCATGTTGATTACTTTCCTTTTTTATCTAAAAACTACTAGGGTTGTCCCTAAATCAGGATTTTCACAGTCGACTTGGGAGGGAATGGAGAGTGCATGTGCTTGTGGTTCATTGGTTCATGCTTTTAATTATAGATATTTTCAGATTCATAAATGCTCAACATCATTACTGATGTCTTTTCACGCCGCCCTCCGTTTCCATCTCCCTTCCCTGTTTCCATCACAGTTTGTTCTGTCATGTCATTTTAAGCTGACAACTTGGTTTGTAAAGTTTTCATTCTGCCATACTGGGGCTCCTGCATTGCTGTGTACAGTAACGCAAGCTAAAAAGAAAAAGTGCAGTGATCTGACAAAATGTGTTGACTTGGGGTCTTCTCGTGTTTTAGGGGCAGCCATAACAAAAAATGTTCTGTGATCTCTCATTGTGCTAGATATTTTTGTCTCTTGCTTTGAAAGTGGGTGAAAACTCAGTGGAACCAAGGATACAGTCATATAATCAGACTGAATTGCTGTTTTGTTTCACGTAAGTCATCCAGCCTGACATGTTTTGGAGGGATATTTTTTTGTTCAGTAGTGAGTGATTTACTCTTTCCACCATTCTCATTTTCATATGACATGGAAGCTAGAAGCATCTTACTGTTTTCATCGGCGTCAAATTTCAAAAAAAGGCTACCAAGTGGACCTTGAGTTAAGATTATTTGTCCAACTATTTCTAAGGACAAGAATTAACTTTCTAGTTGAGTACTTTTTTTCCAAATCTTTTCATTGCTAATTTACTACCAAAGCTAAATGTGTATTAGCACTTTTTTTGGTAATTTAAATCAGCCATAAAAGTCAATTTGCCAAATTTCTATTGCCGCTTATTTGCCATAAATTCAGCCAGTAACAACTGGTCAATATATTGTATTTCCCAGCCAAAAGACAAACTTTCAACCACAGTAAATTTGCCTAAAACAAATCAAACCAGGCTTTAAAGTGTGTACCTGAGGTGAGGTAACAATAGCCACAGTCAGGCAGGGAAGTCAAATCACGGAGCATTGAAGACCAATCACAAATGGTCTCTTATGACACTATGGCACTATAATGCCAGCTGTGAATTGTCTCAGCTGGATCCAGACAATCTGGAAACATATTTCATGGGCCAGTGTGAGTCAGCTCTTTAACCGGAAAGATCTCAGCTCTTGTCATCAACCCTCCTCCTCCTCTTTATGCAGCTTTGTCGGGCTGACAGAGTTGGCCCTGGACCATACAGCAAGTCTGGTTAAAGCCAGCGTCCTGCTGTCTGAACCATGGCAGGCCAGTGAAAGACTGCTGGACATTTCACTGCCCATTCCACAGCACATGCTTTTCCCATGATGCTCATAGTGAGTGAGTCTGGCTTTGTTTCAACAGCTACCAGGACATTTGGGCAGAAATGCCTCCTGGGAAAAAAAAAGAGAGCAGGGGAATGCTGTCTTGGACTTTTCAGCTTTTAGGATTTGTGTGCATATTCTCAATACTCGATACTATATAAGACCAAATATGGGCAATTTCTGTATGAATGCATGAGTTTAAGGTTAAGATAAGAACTGGATTATGTTTAGAATACAGGTTTAGGTAAGGAATGAATGTAGTCATTGCAAGGTGCTCGCAAATGAAGCACAAATGTGCTACTTTTATTTTTGCATTAAAAAGTACCAAACCATCACTCACAAACCAAACTGGAGCTCCCAGATATCTGCTTGTCTTTTATAACAACAGATACAGAGACTAGATAACCTCTCCATCCCCCAGAGCGTACACACACACACACACACACACACACACACACACACACACACACACACACACACACACACACACACACAGAGAGAGAGAGCGATTTCCACCCCCACCTATTGTTCAAACAGCTCCCCTCCAGCTATGGGACAGTGAAGACGGGGAGAGATCAGGCTTTAGAGCTACTGTACAGAATCTAGCCACTCTCACATTTACTGTGTGTATATATAGAAAATACACACATTGAACTACATGGCTGTATTCATTAAGATCATGTGAAATGATCCTGATAATGAAACACTTCGTTTAACGTGGAACATGGCTTAGTATTATGTGTCTATCCACTTTATTGAACACATAGTCAGACCTCACTTCCCTTTGTTTACTACTGTTCTTATTCTGTCCATTTATAATTAGATTTAAGAGATCAGGAATAGGTTGGTTTTAGCCTCTTTTTTTCTTTTGTTTGTTGAAGTAGTCAATAGTTTGTCTGTAGCTTGATTGCAACCAACAATTATTTCCATTATTGATAAATCTTTTTTGATTAACAGTTTGGTATCAAAGACTTTTCAAGAAGATTTCAAGAAGAAATCTTCTTGAAAAAAATCTTGAAATTGCTTTTCTAACAAAACCCCCACATATTTACTTTATCACATAAGACAAAGAAAACCTGCTAATTCTTTAATTTCTTTTTGAGTAAAAAAGATTGATGAAGAAAAATGACTCCCAAGGAAAGTCTTAAAAGCTTTCTGCCCCAGTGTAAATCTTGATATAGAGAGATAAAGAACAGAGGATTGAACACTTCAAAATGTAATGGGCAGCTATAACTCTGCCCTACAGTAAATCCCGGATACTAAAAATTGTGATAATGGAAAAACTATTGATGCTTACTCAGCTGTACGATACATATTTTAAGAATGAAGCTACATAATGTCTGTCACATCAGTAAATGATGCTCAGTGGACCATATCCCATTGTTATTAACCTGTTTAACTGTATAGAAGCAAAAGTCACACATTATGTTTTCCTTCTTACAGATTTTTTTCAGTTATAGTCCTCCAAAATAAAAGTCCCCATAGAAGCCCTAACAAAGAGCGGAACTGCCGCCTCCTGCTGCCCTGCTGCTTCCAACAGCGATCAATAAAGAGCCATTGGGCTGTCTGCCATTGACAGACGTCTGTCTCGTCCTGCTGCCAGTGAAAGCTCACTGCTAATGGTGCTTTTTGGAATCACTGCAGCTCTATAGGCAATCTATTGATGCTTTATTGTGTTGCTCACATTCCTTTTATCCCAGTGATACAGATATTTGTGTAGAGAAGAGGATGGGGTCAATACTGAGCGCGCCCTGTAAAATACTGTCATTGGGAAAGGAGGAGGTTTGGGAAGTAGAGGCGATGCTTGGAGGGTAGAGGATTTTTGGGGGGAAGAGACAGGGAAGAAAATAAGGACAGAGAAACCAGCAGTCCATAACACAAGATATTAAATCTACAGTGATATGAATTAGAGAAAAGCAGCAGCAACAACTTACATTGTTTCCCATTTTTACTTAAAGTTAAATCTGTAAGAGTTACTGATTAATTTCCTGTCAATTGATTTTCAATTAGGAAGTGCGTTTAATTTACCAAAGAACAAAGATTTTCCCCAATCATGATTTAACACCTCTACTAAAACTGGAATCATTTCACTATTATTTATACCAATTATGTCACAATTATAACTTCAAATCCTAGTATTTCTGAGAAAAATGTTTCTAAATTAGAAAGGTATATATTTAAATAATGATCAATGATCAATTCTCTTGTGGCATAGGTAGTGCTGCAACTATGGATTATTTTCATTATCAATTAATATCCAGATTGTTTTCAATATCAATGCTCATAAGAATTTCCCAGAGCCCAAAACAACATCTACAAATAGTTTTTTTTGTCCAACCAACACTCCCAAAAGTTCTTAAAGACATTCAAGAAGCTGGGATCAGAAAATGTTTGAAATTTCTGCAGCGAAAAAGCTGTGAAATAGTCCATGTGCGCTGTGCTCAATTGGATTCTTAATGTACATTAGAACTGACTGGTATTCATTGCATCCCTTTATAGGTGGGTGAGAATGGCCTACATACTGTACAGTAACTCTGGAAACAGAAAGCGGGAAGCAGCCAATAGCAGCTATTTTTGGAAATGCTCACCCAGTTTGGTCAGAAGTGGACGAGTGTTTGGCCTTGCCAAGATTCTGTCACAGCAGTGTGGGTTCCCTGCTTGAGGCTGGTGGTTTTGGAAAATGGTGTGGATCCTGTCATATGGCACAAGGATACATCAAACATAAAACCAAAGTATGAACTTGATTGATGTCAATGGGGTTATGATCTCCATTTGGTTTTGGAGACTACAAATTTAGAACCTAAAGCTTGCATTACAGGCTGAGGGCAAGAGATTTGTAACAAAAGATGCTATCTAGTGGCATCAGGGGAATTGTACGATTCTGCATGACCCATTCTTGGAACTAAAAGTCAGGGTATCTCAGCCTCTGCTGTTTTGATTTGGCCCTTTCTTTTTTACTTATTTGTCTCTTGTGAACACTCCAACTTTATGGAAGTACAATACTAACTCACATGAGTATCCCTTTTAAATTCATAAACACAAGTTTGCTCACGAGGACTTAAAGGATTTAATGAAAGTTCTCCTTCTTAGTCTTGTTATTTTCTTATGGCATATTGCCATTATTGGACAGTTGACAGAAAATGTGAGGGGAGAGAGAGGTGAATGACGTGGAAGATAAGTTTACAACTGGGTTCAAAATGGGGATGTTGCCGTTACTTGATCACCTGGATGCACCAAAGTTCTCTTCTTAACAGGATCTTACGTTGACCTTTTTAAAGCAAAAACGTTTTTCAATAGCACGAAACCACAATAGCTGTGACTACGTATGCTCATGCATCCATGCGTTCCTAGTTTCCACAAGCAAATACAGTACTTTCCCTTGGCATATAAATACCAGAGCACCTCTGATGGATCAGTCTAATGTTTGGTCATTTTGTGTGTTTTCAGATCTGTCTAAGAATCGTCTATGTGAGCTGCCGGAGGAGCTCTGTCAGTTCATCTCTCTGGAGACACTGAGCCTTTACCACAATGGGATGCGTTCACTGTCCTCCAGCCTGGGCAACCTCCAGGCCCTCACCTACCTCAACCTCAGGTAACTACAACATACACATGCTGCCATCTGAGCCAGTTAGCTAGTTGTCATTAAACTGCAACTTAAACATTTAATTAGTAAAAGTGTTACTTAAACAAAAGCCTTTGGTGGTCCAAGTAAAATCAAACAAAAGGTATCTGCAGGTCCTGACTGGACTGGTTCACTGCAATGACATCTTGACTCCTCAGAATAAAACACAACATGCAATTGTTAAATTCAGTGTGAGCGAAATGATTCTGTCTAAGGAAAATTGATCCGGGTCCACCCCGCTTGTTCTATTATAGCTTGTGTTTCATTCTAACTAGTTTAACAGGTCTTAAAAAGTTCAAAGATAGACATATCCCTTTTTGAAAAGTCGGAATGCACTAAAACTTCAAAGAACTCTGACAGTTCCATTTCCTTAGTCTCCTCACTTCTGCTATCAAAGATTTGTTACAACTTGTTTTCAACGTTTTGGCCATTATATTTCTGTCAGTTATGGTCACATTGTACTCAAAAGGACTTAAGTAATTGCTGAGATCTTGGACTGCAGACCGTATTCATATGGTGTGTTAATATTCAACACTGTGAGATAAAAGTATGACATGTGGTCTCCCATTACCAAACACAGCGTACAAGAGAAAAAGAAATCTACACAGAAACAGAATGTTGACTTCATTTGCTCTGTATTTTGTTGTGGTTAAAAAACTACAGAGTAATGTCTCAGCAACATTCCAGCAGTTTCCTTTCACAGATTGCATGTTCTGCTGAATGTTGACAGGTTATCTGGAGTACTGATCCTACAGAGCTTTAGTTCAAAATCTGTTTGGGGGAGATGAGGAAAAATGACACACACAGGCTGCCAAGTTAAGGGTAATTAAGACCAAAACAACCAATAACAGGCTATAAAGTTATGGAATATATTGTTCAGCACTTTTTAGCTGAATAATGTTTCCTCGTGGCTCTGTAGCCAAGTTTCATAGCCCAGACCAGTCTGCAGCCTGGTGGTTGGCAACAACAAATGTATCACTTTATTTGGAAAATCTAAAAATGAGTGCAACTAAAGTATAAACACTGTGTGGGGCGGCACAATGGGGTAAAAAATATCATGCAATTATTTTGACAGTTACTATGATTACGATATGATTCTGATGATTCTTTTAGCAGGAATGCTCATTTTTGCATCAGTTTTCATTTTCACTTAAAAAAATCATTGCTGTGACATTTGTAGGGGCCTGTACTGAACAAACATCTGGAAAACAAGATTTGTAGACGGAGGCATCTCTGCAGAACTACAGTATTTCATTATAATGCTGTGTGTCACACATTTGACCTTTTTTTTAATTAAAAAAATAGCAGCTTCTGAGATTTTTTCTCAGCTTTTGTAACTTAGCCATATTGCAATCTCAATCATTTTGGATCAATTGTGCAGCCGAGGGCACGCACAACACTGGTATGTATGAAAGTCTTGGGTTCAAAGCTTGCTGGTATAAAGTTGAACCAATCAATCAATTGCAATTATCCTTTAAAAGTTGCACTTTAGCACACTGCAGCAGTGGACTCGTTGCATCCATTTCACAGTTAGCAGTTTGCAGGTGCACAACGCCTCTAAAGCACAGCTGCTGTCTGAAAACTTCATTTGAACTTCAGTGTTTGTTTATGCTGGAGATGAAGAGAGGCCGTCCAAATCCTGTCCAAACCTTCTTAGAACAACAGAACCACACTGACACTCCTCTCTCCTCCACACTGTCATTTTTACTGTTGCTAGGAGACCAGAACAAACCTCCAGGTGGCTGGTAATACAGGCAGCAAAAGTGTAAGCTCAAAGCAAATATACTCTATAACAAGAAATAACAAAGACAAAGTGTAGCTGAACATTGTGACAGGCTAGCTAGTTAGCTACCAACTACAAGAAAATACATAAAACATTTCACTTTTATGAAGGTTTTAAACAAGAGTATATATTTTGAAATCCAATTCACCCTTGCACCAGGCCCAGATGGATGTCAAGGAAGTGTATTTATCATAATAGATTGTACAATGAAGTGAAAGTTGACAGTCCCTTCATGCTACACACACAGAAAAGGTAATTCAATTTTCAGTAGAACAACATATGAAATGCCACTTCAATGACTTTACTGTGTGTGTGCTTGTCTCCACAGTCGTAATCTTCTGTCCAGTTTACCCCCATCGGTGTTTCAGCTCCCCCTCCTGCGAGTGCTCATCGTCAGCAACAACAAGCTGTGTTCACTGCCTGCCTCCATATACTCCCTCACACACCTCCGTCAGCTGGTATGATACACACACTTAGATTCACAGAGTTTAAACACAAGCCAGCCGATTTCTGTCCCTTTGGGTTGTAGTCAGAAGTTCATACTTACGGTTTTAAAAATGAAAAGCAAGAGGGTCTAAAGATCCATTTGTGATATAATAAAACATGTCAGTGGTCTTATCAGTTGTCTGCAGTTTCAAATTCTGTCTCTCTCTCAGGATGTAAGCTGCAATGAGCTGCAGTGTTTGCCAGCAGAGCTCGGCCAGCTAGAGTGTCTGAGGGACCTAAACCTGAGGAGAAACCAGCTCACCACTTTGCCTGAAGGTATCGACACACTTGACCCCATCCATTGACCTCAAACCTCCTCTCCTCTGCTCATATTCCTTCCATCCAGCACATTTTTTAGTGCTCTTTGATGAACCCGAGTAACCCCAGAATCCTCAGCAATGTCTTTGTCCAGTGATTCTTCAATTGATATTGAGTGCATCTATAACTATACAAAAAGATAAAGATATCTTACTAATACTGAGCTTTGTTAAGCCTGCAAAATATAACTAACACCCGAAGCAATACTAGCTCTCTGTTTACCATGGATTGTAATGTAGAATCTCAACAAGTCACACAGTAATTGCATCATTACTGTGAGCTATCGATTGTTTACATGTAAAAGTATTGAACTGCTTCTGCCTATTAGTCTTCAGCCTAATGGATCTTACACCACTAGCTTGCTTGTTTACCGTAATGAAGTTAAAAGTAATGTTACAGTATATTGTTGCAGATTGTTAAACGTGACTTTTCATAGTTTTATTAATAATAATAATTGCTGTCAAACCTGTAACCATAATGAGAGGAACAGACCGTGTGCGTGTGCGTGTGTGTGTGTGTGTACTGTGTCTATAAACGGTTGAAAAAAGTAAAAAGATAGTTCTTATAGATAGACAAGTCCTGCATTTGATATCTTACTTTTCTGCCAACACTTATGTACTTTAACTTACTCAAAGTAAACATACTCATTGGGCAAACTGTCCCTTTTTACACAAAAATGGAAATAATAGTTTTCTTCATAGTTGATTTATATGTTGAATAACTTACTGATATGGCATTGAGTTGGGAAATTACCATCTGCAAAAGGTGCGATAGCATGTGTTACACTATTGTGGTACTCAAAATATTTTCCTGAGGTTGGCAGGTCTGTATGTCATACTCTGTTCTCTAACATCAGGCATTCACCAATTACATCCAATTGCCTCCATTTTCCAGTTCCAGGTAACGGGACAGACATTCCTTCCTCCAGTTATACACTATTCCACTGATCAGCAAGTAGAGAAGATGACTGCAAGCCAGTACACATGGATATAGCCTATCTAGAATTCAAAATCTTTTTTAAATCAGCTTTGCAAATATTTGAAGTGGAGGAAAAACAACGTCAAGGATACACACAATGCATTTTGGGGAGAAAGACTGAATGTAAACCGAACTTTTGTTCTCCACAGGGCACCTTTTAAGTGTAATCACAGAAAAAATTCAAGATAAGTGTATCACTTAAAGTCTACTGAAGTGTAATCGCTGAAAGCCAGGAGGAGTATACTGCATTGTGAGAGTTTTTGTTCAGTCGCAAAGAACTGATACCTGAAATGGTTTGAAGTGTCAGCTAAAGTGTAGGAATTGACAAGAGTATAGCTGTCAGCTCAGAAACTACAGAAATAACTATTAGAACTATAATAAGTGTCAACAATGACTTTAATTAACCAAGCCAGCACTGAAACTGAACTATGTATATGAAAATAAATGAAGATATAGGTGAGTACCAACAATTAGAGGCCCAAATGACACTATATAACATATTCCCCTCTCTTTGCATCATTCAGAAATATCCGAGCTACCCCTTGTCCGGCTCGACGTGTCCTGCAACCGTATTTCCCACGTGCCCTTGTGCTACCGCCACCTCCGCCATCTCCAGAGCATCTCACTGGACAACAACCCGCTGCAAATGCCACCTGCGCAGATCTGCTCCAAGGGCAAATACCACATCTTCAAGTACCTCAACATGGAGGCCTGCAAGAGGAGCCAGGAGGAGATGGAGAGACACCTGAGACCCACTGGATTTAACAGCTGGTGAGGAGAACTGGAGGGAGGAAGCAAGGAACTAAAGGGAGGAAGAGATGCTCAGGGAGTAGCAGAAAGGATGAAAGAACAAGCACATTTGCACTGGTCAAATTTGATAGAATATCCTGACAATTTTAAGTATATTTCAGACTATGAATACCAGATAGTAGAATATTATTTTGATGGGCTTTAGATGTGTTTGTAGGTGTATTTTTAGGGCTGTACCAAAAAGTCTGAATCATTCATAATGTTGACATTCAAATTCTAAATTAGCATTTGAAAGCAAATAATCTCTCCCAAAATGTTGGACTATTCCTTTAACAAACCAGTAGGAAAGAGTGTTTCATGGAGCCACACTTTGTAGTCTTCTAGTCATGAATAAGTATTGTTTACCGATAGTGGCAGCTACTGCACCTATTCATTATAGGATAATGGACTTATGGAAATAAATATATTTTTGCAACCACAATAGGCACATTGGGCTCTTATGCCAAAAAATGAACGATGTGAACATGAGGTAAGATGGCAGGAGGTACAGTGAATATAGAAAAGGGAAATGGATGACAATGAAAGGGTATGATAACTAAGAGGAAGCAGGGTTTATCAAATATTTATAAACTCGGAATGGAACCCGTTTAGCTGCCTAGTGAGCCATTTCCATGAAATAGACAGCACCAAGGACAGAGATAAGAGAACATTTGACAATAGAGCTCTGAGTCTGATCTGGAGGAGAAAACATGAGTCACTGCCCTTTAGACTAATAAACCACAATCTAACAGTCTGTCAACAAGACTGCTGCTGTGTATTTACTTCTGTGTGTGTGTGTGTGTGTGTGTGTGTGTGTGTGTGTGTGTGTGTGTGTGTGTGTGTGTGTGTGTGTGTGTGTGTGTGTGTGTGTGTGTGTGTGTGTGTGTGTGTGTGTGTGTGTGTGTGTGTGTGTGTGTTTAACTTAATGTGTGCTCTACATGTTTCCCTGCAGCCTGTCAGAGCAGGAGCTGTTTACAGGCCAGTTCGGGGGGCTGGACTCTGGCTTTAACAGTGTGGATAGCGGCAGCAAACGGTGGTCTGGGAATGAGGTATTACTGAACGCACACGGCCATTTATACACTGCCCTAACATGTCCTGAGTAACTACATTATATTAATCAAACAGAACTGTGTATAATGATGCTGCATCGAAATATCAGATTTGAGGAAAAAATGTATGTATGATGAAATGTATAGGTGATTGGGAAGCTGAGTAATATTATAAACCAGGTTAATGTCATTGAACTTGTTCACACTGATGTCAGTCAACCTGAAACAATATCTATTGCTTTATTTTAGGTGAAAACAACAATACAAATACAGCCTATCTATCTGCATTGTTGGCAATCAACTACTGATCAATAACTCAATGACTGCCTGTCTTGTCTCTGTGTTCAGTCAGCAGATGACTTCTCAGAGCGTTCCCTACGCCTGGCTGAGGTCAGCAGAGACCAGAGGAACCTGGAGGAGGAGGATGAGGAGGATGGATCTCCTCTGGAAGCTAGCAAGGGTGAGGAAGCACACCGGAAAATCTGTGTTTTCCAGCCAGAAACGTTCCTGAAAAAGTAGAATTGTTTGCACATTTAGAGAAAATGTCCTCTCCCTGCTCTTTGCAGTAAACGGAGAGGCCGAGCATGTCGACTTCATTGACAGCATTGTGACGGAGGAAGAGGAGGAGGAGATCAGGATAGATCCACCCACGCCTACTCTCACAGCCCCTCCTCTGGTACTCATTCACACACTGATCAGCAGTTGTGTCAGATCCTCTTGTTGCTCAACATCTTGCCTTGTATCTTCTCTTAGAACAGGGAAGTAATTGATTACGTCACTGATTTCTTAGGAGCAGAAGGAGAACTCTTCACCACCACAGGACTCAACAGTATGCAGGTAAGACTTTGCATGGCACTGCTTAGTTTCTAGCAGAATAAACTAAAGTAAGTTTACAACACAAAACAGGAATATTGGTTTGTGGCACAGGACTGAAATATTGGTATAAAGCTCAACAGGAATATTGGTTTTATTTAATTCAATTCAATTGTGTTTGTATAGCACCAATTCATAACAGAAAATAGAGCAGGTCTAGACTGTACTTCTTATAACATTATTTTTTTAGAGAGAGAGAGAATTTTACAGGGAGCCAGTGCAGAGAAGCTAGTACAGGAGAGATGTGATCTATTTTCCTAGTTCCTGTCAGTACTCGTGCTGCAGCGTTTTGAATTAATTGGAGCGTCTTAATGGACTTATTGGGTCAGCTTGATAATAAAGAGTTGCAGTAATCCAGCCTAGAAGTAACAAATGCATGGATTAGTTTTTCTGCATCCGCCTGTAACAGGATGTGTCTAATTTTTGTAATGTTACGTAAATGAAAAAGTCATGGGGAAATTCCCTATGTGGGAATTAAAGGACATGTCCTGATCGATTTTTAAAGCGCAAACCAGGAAAAATAGTTAACAGCTAATTTGGAATATTGATGTATACACAAAAAAAAAAAAATTTTTTTTTAAAAAAAAAAAAAAAAATTTTTTTATAATATTTTTTAAAAAATTGGTTAAAAAAAAAAATTTTATTTTTTTTAAAAAGGTTATCCCCATTTTAGTTTGAAAGGAGGAAAAACCTAGCTGCAATGGCCTCTATGGCTTAAAGGTAAATGTATGTAGAACCTCTTACCACACCCAAAAACAATTGCACAGGGTGTGAAAAAAAGCTTGTTGTCATAGTTATAAAGCAGGGCAAGCCCACGGTTATATTTTCTAATTTAATTTGCCACTAGATGTCACAGTAGAGCAGCAGCATCTCATACCCAAACAATAGCCGCTACTGCCGACCAGACAGTCATTTTCCCTAGTAGAAAATCGTAAAACGCACCAAACTGGACAGAAATAAAATAATCTTTTTCAGTCTGTTCAACCATCACTTGGTCTAAATAAAACCCTTAAAGGGAACATATTATGCAAAACCAACTTTTTAATCATTTGATTATGTACATTTGGGACTCTGGAGGGCCTATCAGCAGGCAAAGTGTGAAGAAAAATGACTCAGTCATGTTTTTGTGGGCTGCCTCAGTCAAAATACAGGAGATAAAACACGCAATGTAGACTTCGCACCAACTGTGATGTCACACTTTGGTTTGCGACCTTTGACCGCGAATGTTGCCACCCCTTCCAGGAAGTTTTGACAATCGGAGCTCCGCCATTGTTACTATAAAAGAGCAAGCTAGCGGAGAACAAGCAAGCGAGCCCAGCCAGCAGCCTGCAGCCTAATGTCTGGGCAAAGGCTTTCAGCAGGCAAACCGTTCAGTCATTGTCTGCACAGCCCAACACTAATTTAAATACGTATGAGCCACTGGATTTATTTTTATTTTTGACGGCAATGTCCGTCGGAAAAAACGGAATGTGTGTGAACCACTTCGTGTCGGACTGTTTGAACAACCTCGCTCAGTACAACACTGGACTGGCTGAAAACTGTTCCTGAAAGAGGGATTGTACCAACTGTCTGTGGAGAGACGGCAGAGGAAGTAACTGTAAGTATTTTTAAGAATTTATGCTTTGTTTTTCATTGTTGTGTAACGCTAGCACATGCTAACCGTTGTTAGCTACAGGAGCCTCAGTGATGCTAATGTAGTTATTGTTTGTTAAATGTTTGTTAAATGTGTGCAACATGAACATGAAACTTATAAGGTGAAGTTAATTTATTAAGCCAGCTGGTGCAGATGTCTCCATATTCTCCCCTGCTGATATTTTTCTGCTGAGATTCACACAAAGTTTATGCCGAGAAGCACCAAGCTTCGTGTCGGGGGGCTCCGTAACTCCGTAACTCCGTAACTGTTGTGGGTTTTGTGACCGGGGTTAAATTGGCTTTATGTTGGTCTGTATTTTGTTAAACGTGCTCAGTCAGTAATATGTTTGTGTCGCTGTTAGAAAGAGCAGAGAACCTCCAAGCTAACAAACTGTAGCCGCTCATCAGCTGTTAGCTCGTCGAGCAGCATAGAACAGGGAAGATAACGTTAGTTAACGTTAGGTTTGATTGTCTTTAACCTGGTAACTTACATATCTGCTGGGTAGCTAAGTATCTGTTCACCGTGTGGATCAATACAGCTGTTCTCAGGAGAAGACACTGTACTGTGTATAAATTCAGCAGCGGAGGTCATTTGTTTGGTAGGATTGTAGCTTTGATTAGCACACAGCAGCTCTGTGATTTCTTGTATGTGCTAACGTTACTTCAGCTAGCGCTAGCGCTCAGGTGTGTGTGTGTGTGTGTGTGTGTGTGTGTGTGTGTGTGTGTGCTGCTGTATGTAAATGTACCGGAGGTAAAGATAGAGCTACCGTGAGAGAGAAATAGTCAAACTGTGATCAAGCCTCCTTAGAAGCTAACAAAATACAGAGAGTAAGTTATGGTGATTATTGTTCATGATGCTTCTTGTGTAACTTTCGACTGACGTGCTAACGTTAACTCAGCTAGCGTTAGCTTTGTTGTTTCTCTGAAGCCGTTCTTCTGCTTCGTTCAGGTGTGTGTGTGTGTGTGTGCTGCTGTATGTAAATTAACTTGATCAACATGCACCAAAGTTAACAATAGAGCTACTGTGAGAGAGAAATAGTCAAACTGCAGGGATTCATTAGTCTAGTAATATTCTGTAACTTTGAGCAGCACCCAGCAGCTGGGGTTGCTCACTAGGCTTTTTGTGGAGTCAAACCGCGACGAATAAAAGTTTTCTGATTCATATATTTAGCGTTACTGCAGTACTGCTATTACTGACGATATAAGTGTAGGTCCAGTGTAACATCTCATCCTCATATCATCTCGTATTGTATTATAAACAACACTGAGGCTCACTGCTAAATGTCTGTTTCTGCTGTCTTACAAGTAACACTGAATCTGCCTTGTTTTACAGGTGACCTGATGAAGCTCAGGTGTTCCTGGACCCATCAGAGGACAACAGTTTACATAAAAGTTATAGCTTTGTTACTTACAACATGTGTAATTGGAATATGAATGAAACATGAATAAAGTGTTTTACTTTTAAGAAGAGTTTTGGTCATTTTTTAAATTCAGTAATAAGTGTGGTTTTATATAAATAACATGTTATTTCACAGAGGTTTTATGAAGATTTGAAAACCTGGTTCGTGTAACATCAATATGAAAATGTTAAACCTGTATTAATGACTGTAAGCAACACAATACATTACTGTCTCACATTCAAACTTTATTATGTTGGAAGATAAATGACATGACAATATATAATATAAATGATAGAATATTCAGTATATATACAGTATTTTTAATGGGGTTCAAACATAATTGCAGCTTTTACACATATCTGAAGGTTAACTTTGGTAGTAATACTTTCAAGTTAAAATATCAGACTATGAAATATGGACACAGTACAGTTAGTTACTTCGCAGTTTTTAAACCACATAAACAAGTTACTTTATTAGATGAGTAATTCCTTCAGTTATGTTGACATACATACAACATACAGGATAAAGTATTGCGGGCATATAATATGTTTAACTTCACTGGGCTGTGTAGACTGTAGGTCACTGCTCACTGCTGTACCTGTAAAGACAAGCATAAAACACAGTGTTGGTTCTCATAGTTAAAGTATAAACACTAACATTATGTGATAGATAGAGGTTAATATATATAATTAATATAGCAGTATTTACCTGAGGAAAACGTCACAGAAAGCTGTAATCCTGATTGTTGATGTTGTTCATTTCTCCGTGATTTCAGGTCAGACTCCCGCTCTAACATGTCCGGTGGTGAAGTTTTCGGTTTAGAAGCAGTTATAGAATTAATATCGACGGTAGAAATGCAGCTAAACTCAGTAGCAGTGAGGAGCTAACTGCTGGCAATGCTGAGGCGGAAGTGGGAGGGGCCGGAGTGTCATCCACGTGAGCCGCGTCATAATGCCAACCAATCAGAGCAGACTGGGCTTTTTCGGGAGGGGGGCCTTAAAGAGACAGGAGCTAAAACAGAGCGTTTCAGACAGAGGCTGAAAAGAGCTGATCAACTATAGGCAGTATAAGAAAAATAATGTGTTTTTTGAACATTAAAACATCTAAACCTTTTGTAGTAGAGCCACAAAATACAATTATGGACCTGAAAAGGGGCATAATATGTCTCCTTTAATTCACAGAATGAGATGAGATAACAGCTGCAAAACAGGCTGCTCTGACTGCCATATAACATTAGCTAATTCCTTCAAAGCACATCCACTAAAAGTATTTTACAGAGATAGACCTTTTGTTTAACCACAAACAGCCGTAGTACTGCTCGCCACCAGACACAAAAATGGTAATTCTATTTTGCAATTGTCTTGATATCAGAACTCCTTCAAAGTGGACAAACTAAAACTCACCAAAACTGTCTTTGTTTTGTCTTTCCACTGTTTCAACAATCACTAACGCTGGATGATAATTTAATCACAGACAAAGAAAAACAACAGTTTCAGTTGCTCTACTTAGTTGGAAATGGAACTCACATGCACTAATGTGTACATGCGGCCAGACCAGATTTGTAAACAAACCACCAAGTGGCTGCGATAACAACATGGTGTCCTGTGCAGAGAATGACGTCACTCCCTTTGCCTGACTCCAATATATGTTTACATAGCGAATAGTTGTTTGCTACTATATTCATGTTTTCAATCTTATGATTATAATCTTTAAAGCGCAAAACAATATTCATTGTAGCACAAAAAAGGAGTATATTGTGGAAGAAGCCACTGTTCTTTCAGATGGCAGATGGAGTAAAAAGCGATCGAAAAATATTACTGCAAGTTTATTTATCCTCTTCAGGGAGGGGCGAGGAACGACGAGAAGCAAAAGGCTTTATGGGAAGTGTCTCCATAATGACCTCAACCAAGGTCTCATTTGTTTACAGTTCTTGTGGCGTTTTTTATTTGAAAAGCATTTACATATTGCCTTTAATTCTGCTCAGCCTGTTTGTGCGACAGTTCTTCATCTAAACTCAGCAGTGTGTTGGTTCTTCTGGTTGGAAACCGTGTACTCAGTCACTCCAAGTGACAAAGATGGACAAGGTTTTATCACTTTTTCTCTCTCTTTTCCTCCCTTGTTTTACAAGGTCACTTTACAGGCTATTTGAAGAGCTGGGAAAAGTCAATAGACTGCAGTTCCCATTACTTACAGTGTTAGTCACTCACTGTCCCTCAAACTCTGCATATCGAGTGCCTGTGGCTGCTGTTATCTTGGAAAGTTAACAGTCTGAGTCGCCCAGTCCTCACATTTACTACACTGTGGCAACATAAAAGCATTGTCTAAATGCTCATGTATCTTGAAAACCGATGAATAACAAAGAATGTGTGTGTTTGAGCAGAATGAGATTCCAGTAGAAGCTATATGTGCTGAAAGATTAAATTGCTAAAGTTGCTCACAGCATCTCTACCTCCTGCTCCTATTGGAAATACCACAACCACTCAAAATTTTGTAGCCAGGGCTAAAAATGGAGTTGTCATCTTTCTGTGCCTCGGCAGGACAAATGGCGACATCCATGAAAAACGGTGACAGCTATGGCCACAAAAACAAAGTAAACCTGGCTGCAGTCTGTAGAATGTGTCAGGATTTAAAGTTGAATGTTTAATCCCACTCACTGTGGCACGGTTAAACATCAATTTCCTTGTTTTCCTACTTTTTGAGCAGCACTTCCTTTTGTCTCAGTTAGCCGTGCAGCAAAAGTTAGTCCACTTGTGGTAGAAAAGGCAGCCAGGCCTTACCGTACAAAAACACAACTTAATAACTTTATTCACTAATTTAATGAAACTATTGATATGAGGCAGTGAATTTAATGAATGTACTATTTATTAGACCACAAATGAGATAAGAATTAGGCTGGAAAAACAATAGACAGCCAAAGCGTTGGGTTTCTGGGGACGGGCGCACTTAATTACTGTACAAAAACAACTTTATTCACTGATTTTGGTGACACTGGATCATATTTCATGGAGAAAATAGTTTATAGTTTTCCCTCTGACATTGTGTGAAACAACTGTGATTTACAGGGTTTCCTGATGTACAATAGTTGTTGCTAAAGTAACTGCTAACTGTTGCTAACAGTAGCTGCCAATAGCTAAGTTGGGTATACTATTAGCTGAGTCCAGTTCCGTTGTCTGCTCGCTCCGCAACAGCATTGCCTGCCAATTAAAATCACAGGGAGATCAACAGCTAGAATCCAATCACAATCAACGTTTAACCCCACCCAAATTAAACAGTTAAACCAACCATTGCTGAACCCCGCCCCATTCTGCAGGCTCCAATGAGGTACTCCTCACAAAAACTGTGGCAAGCATGGATGGGATGGATATAGCTTCCCTACAGGTTGTTGTAAGTTTAAAATAAATCTGCAACAGAATAAGCCCACTCCCATCAGAAGTTTGCTAACACAAGCATGAAATCCGTCTAAAGGAAAGAAGTGGAACAAACTGGTAGTTTGATTATCAGACTAAAACATAAGAATTGCTGCATTTCTTTAATAAACATACATACATATTTCCTGTAACATTTCCTGTCACATTGGGATTGGACACAAGCTCCTATATTAACACTGTTTGTCAGGGATCCTTAATATCCATATTTTGCCCATGCATTGTTATTGACAGCAGCCACATTCATGCCCTGTTTGTGCTGAAGCCCAGCAGGCAGCTTTTATCATGCTGCCCTGTTGTTCTGTAACCAAGATAACAACATCGTTGAGATTTAGTGTCCAGCAGTCCATTGGCTACATATTAATATGTGATGCAGGGCCATTGTTCTCAGCCTCTGGAGCAACAAGCAGCATGCTCCATTGTTCCAAATGTCTGAGATTTATAAACTGTCCTCAGGCCAAATGACTAACAGTGCTCAAACACCTCATTAAGCCTCAGATACTGTACATGATTTCAGTCTGGTCACTAGACTGCTAGTTTGTTCCTTCTGACAGAGGAAGGTTTACTTTAGCTGTTTCACAGTCCTGTATCTCCTGTACAGACAATTTACAGTCATATTGTAGCTTGGACAAACGGATGTTCCAGATCTTGGCTTCCAACGCTTCCTTTGGGACTTCTAAAAATAGAATACAGAGACTCAAAATGGAAACTCAACGGTTTCTAAACAGACTTTCACATTGGAATGATTTACACAAACCAGCCTTCAGAAAAAAGTTGCAAGTCTGTCGAATCCCTTCAATAGCCTTTAGTTAATCTGGTGTCTTTTTTTTCTGCTTCTCTCTCTTGTAGCTGTTAAACTGCTCTGGGCCTGAATCCAGCCCATGTACAATCTCCGCCCAGTGTAGCACACAGTACATTTGGATTTTGAAAGTCAGTGTTCGAATGGTTGGGCCCATTTCACAAAAACAACCATAACTTCCGTGATCCTGTTGTGCTCTGAACCAACTTTGTGTTTCCATCTCATTGCTTCACTTTTTACTTTTACTGCACTGGTGAACGTGGTTTTCTGTTGGGTTCCTTTCTGTATCATTTCCAAAGACAAGCAAATAATTGGGGTACTTTTAATGACAAGTAGTTGAGTTTGTGGCACTGATTGGGCTATTTGCTGTCTGTCAAATCTGGCAACAGAAACTTCACTCCCTCGCTCCTAGTGGATGCAACAAGGTCCTTGGGCCAACAGTGGAGTTTACAGCAATGGGGACTGCAGTACAGGGATTGTAGCCAGTCTAAATGTACAAAAAGTGTTTTAGATATATTCAGATCAAATTATTGAATTCTTTTTTGCCTCATTGCCATTCTCAAACTCTCAGGACCAGCCTCCATATAGATGTGGGCCCCGCAACGTCGCCTCCCTCCGCTCCCCTGTCCCCCTCCAGCCCCACCCTGGAGGAGCGGAGGAGGCCGGGCACCCTGCTGATCTGGCAGGAGAGAGAGCGTCAGCATCAGCAGAGAGAAAAGGCCAGGTAACTACTCATTGACATGAGTTTACTTCTGACAGAGGACGAAGCATTTGACAATAAAAAGCATATGAATGGATTGGATGCAGACAACACATGATGTTAGCAGAAATTAAACTATTTCCTGCTCTTACTGGAACACAGTGTGAATATGAACTTGTGTGTAGCAGTTCCACACATACAACTCTCAGTCAGAGGCTGCTCCCTACTGCCTGACTAATCTCTAATTATACGCTCTCCATGTCCAAACTCTAATTTTGCAGTTTGCTGAAGTCATCCACCAAAACAGGAAGTCATGTGGCTGCTGCACCACCACAGACAGGAAGTGTCTCGGCGTAAGTAAAGCTTGTTGAACAGATAAACACACAGCAGAGCAACAGCTGAGACACTCATGATTTTGAGTGGCTGTCCAAGTTATACTCACTTCCATTCATTCTCACATTTCCTTGCTTTATGCTGAATTTAAACATAGGGGGAAGCTTAAGGGTGTGGGAAGTGTTGGTTTTCTGTAGCCAACAAACTGTGGTGTATGTCTCCCCCTAGTGGTGCATCTCCAGAGAACAACCCCCAGTCAGGCCTCCGGCAGCGATGTGCAGTGAGTCGTGCTTCTCATTCCTTCAGAAAATAGAGCTGAAAGGTTCACACAGCTGCACTGTGACTGATTTCATTATTGATAATGGGAAGTTTGTTCCTTTTTTTTTATTAGAGTGCTGACCAGATGTCTCCTTCAACAATTCTACATCGCTCCAGCAGCAGAATAGGTACTACACACTCACTCGGTTTTAAAAGTAAGATGACTTTAATTGAATGTTTGTAAGCGTACAGGAACTGCTGTATTATGAGGAGATATTATATATACCAGAAGATACTGGTTTCTGATTGGCTGACTGCTTCAAATTTTATATAGGACACCTCAAATATAGATCCACTGATATTTCCAAAGTATGAATGGGTTCCCAAGGAAGGTTAAACTGTGGGTAACCATAGCAACACTACTAACCATGGACACAACCTTACTGGCAGGGTATTTTAAAAGGCTTCAATATCCAATCCAACAATCAGAATTTTAGGCCTTAAAAATTGATTGAATTAATGACGTTAATGTGCACTTTAGTGATATGGAACCATTACTGATTTCCATCATGACTTTTGCACTTCTTTTTCCCAGTATGGGCATGAAATAGGTCTTGTCATGGTTTTAAAAAGTCTTAAAAAGTTCTACAAGTCTTCTTGTAACCTGTTGAAACCTGAAGAAACCCTGACTGCACGCACTCACGCACACACACAGATAATGATGAGATTGAAAGCTCACCTAGTTGCTCCTTCCTAAGCTTTCAACCTGCATTGTAACAGTAAACTGCATCTGCTGAGGAAGGCTGAAATAAATTGTCTTGTCAGTACATGTTTCTGACATGTGGAACACTGACCTTGTTTGTTTCAGATGTCCCGTCCTCCCCGAAGACGTCCCCTCCACCCGGCCAGGCCCAGAAACCCAACAGTTTCCTGTTCCGCACCTCCTCCCGCAGCAACGTCAAACCCGCAGTCTTTACTCTGGGTGAGTCTGGCAGAAGTGAGTCTCGCACGATGCTGCGATCCCCTAAAGAGGAGAGACCAGACATCACACAGCTACGCAAGGTAAACCACAAGATGCATTACACATTTAAAAAAATGTTGAATGGAAGTTTGCTTAGTCACATATAGTACAGTAGTATTTATTGTAAAATGAAGGCAGATTCAAGTGATTCTGGCGAGATTTTACAAAAATGTGTGAATATATTTATTATTTCACACCATCAGAACTCAGTAGGTTTATTGAATGGTACATTAGAGGACAAGTGACTAAGAGGTTGCCTGACTGAAATGTACCTCTCAATAAATATACCAGAACTCTTCATAGTGTGTGGGAGTTATTTTTACATCTTTGCATCACCTCAAATCCTCCTGTGGCATAAATCATTTTCAAGGGTCTTTGAAATACCTTCTACCACACATGTTGTGTCTCAGCTTCTTCTCACTGTATTGAAGATGCTTATAATTGACATAAACATCATCATGGTAATCCTGGGTTTTAATAGTTGGTGTCCTGTGATGTGAATGCTGTCTAAAATGGAGATCTGACATAATCTTCTCTTTCTGACGCCCTCCTCAGACTCTGGAGTCTCGGCTGAAGATCACTCTGCCGGAGGATCTGGGTGAGGCCTTATCCAATGGCACCATCCTCTGCCAGCTGGTCAATCACATTCGACCACGCTCCGTGTCAATAATCCACATTCCCTCTCCAGCAGTGGTGAGTCTCGTAAACTGCTGAATCCAGTCCCTGTCAGAAATGTATCATTAATTATGACTATAATTATATGATCAAAGATATAATAACTACATTTCATCATGAACCTACACAACTGTGAGCATTTGACTCTAAACTACAATCAAGTCATATTCTCATTCTTCACACAAATGAACATTGATTTATCCTGAGTTCAGAGAATCACAGTCACACATCTCACATGAATGAAAAAGGTGTTTGCGTGTGTATAAGCTGTCAGAGAATCTCAACCCCATAATTAGATTTGACCAACACAGACATGATTCATAGCTTTTTCCACCACGACAAGTATCTATCAGACAGTAAAGCCTTTATTAATATTTATTATTGAGCCCACATCGTTGGACACAGGAGGCGCTACACAGACCACATTACATCAGCAGCACATCAGATATACAATTTAAAGAGAGAGAGTGGAACACAGCCGAGGACACACAAAACACGACAGTCAGCAGTTTCTTGAACGATCTGATTATTAAAATATTTAATATTATTAATATTATCCTGTTAATAGCGCCGCCTATGGTTACTGCCCAACACTGTTCATAAAACAAAGCAATCATTTCAGTCCAACATAAAGAGATCTAAATGTCCGATGTTATTTTCAGCCTAAACTGAGCTCAGCGAAGTGTCGACTCAACGTGGAGAACTTCATTGCTGCGTGTCGCAAGCTGGGAGTCCCTGAGGTACAGTCCATGTGTCACTATGATTCCCTGTCCTTACAGCAAAACTACTCCGATACATCGAAATGTGACGCTTCTTAAAAGCATCCCATTGAGTCTGTTTAAAAAGTAGATGAAACACAATTCTCTACGTGCTTTAAGCTCAGTTGTGTTGCTACATTATTCCGGTCAGGGTTGGACTGTGAGGGTGGTTGAGGGCTTTTGTCCTAAATCAATTACGTTTTCAATCACATCACTGGCCCATATCAGTCCAACCCTAACTCTGCTTTGTGTAACTCTACACTCTGTTTGTCTTCTGTTGTCTCTTAGTTTTAACAATATAACTACTTGTATTTTCCTCCTGTGTGTGTGTCCAGACGGACGTGTGTGTGTGCTCTGATGTGCTTCTATGTAAGCTGCCCGCTGTGTTACGCTGTGTGACGGCGCTGCTGGCCGCGGAGGGGGGGGAGACGGCGGAGGACCACTCCCCTCGCCACTCCTCACCTTCGCCATCGTCGTCGTCCTCGCCGCTGTCCACAGATTTCCTGCTCTTCTACTGCGCCGTCATGGCTCTGCTCTACATCCTCTACTGCTACCTGCTCACCTAGAGGACAAACACACAGTACTTATTTACATGACTGCTGTCCTGCTCTACATTACACACTACAACACACACACACAGTCACAGTTGTAGAGTTTGAGGCCAACACACACAGCTGCTCCCACAGTTGTCATCTCAGACAATACTCTGCTGTGTGTGCGTGTGTGTGTGTGCGCGCGCTCTCCACAGCTGGTTGGATGTTCGAGCCATATAGAGCCAACAGTTGAGCATACAGCTTTTATGAAACAAACAGAATACACTACAGCTCTTCATTTAGCAAAACAGAAAGCACTACATGGACAAATACTGTATGAGAGCAGATGAACAGAGATATGCCTTAGCCTAGTTTAGCCTTCACTCTGTAATGCACAGTGTGTTTGCAGGAGATGAGTTTAACTGTGAGGCAGAGCTGCTCCACAGTAACAAACTCTCTCATTGGTTGAGACATGGAGGGGCGGAGCAAAGGAACCACAACTTTAGTTACATCTCACTGACCATTGACTATAGAGTGCTAAAAAATGATAAAAGTGATGGTGATTTGTGAAGATTATCTTGCTGAACAAAATGCGTATCAAACCTTTTGTTGACAACAAAATGAAAGTTTTTCCATAATCCATGTCCGATGGCTATCAATAATTGGATGTATACATTATAACTGGCCAATGTACAGTGTTACATTTTGAGAATGCGCACAACCAACGCTCTACAGCCAGGGTAGCCATCAAGTGCATATGAAGGTGTAGTTATGGTTACGACTAACAGTTATTTGAATTATCGATTAATTGATTAGGTGTTTGGTCGATACACTGTCTGAGGACTAAAGAAACCTAAAACAATTAAGCGATTATCAAAATATAGTTAAAAGCCAATTGATTAGTTTTTGTGTTTACCTGATACATGAGTCCATAAATTGACTCTCCTTTAATCTCCAACTCCTGGGAGCTAGTCAAATGTATCTGGAAGAGAAAGCAAAATGATTGTCCAGACTGTAAACTGTGATGGACAGACTCTTCCCTGTCATGAGTCCGTAGTGTAAGCGTTTTAGTGTCTATAGCGATAAATGTCAGGAGGTCAGCCGACTGGTTCAGTTGGCTACCCAGATGTCCTTGTTATATGGCTGGATTGACTTATTGTTCCTGCTTGTTTGTCAGCATCACTGGGTGTGGTTCTTTAGCTCTGCTCACCAAGTTTTAACTCGGGATGTTTTCTGTGTTTGGAGCAGCTCTACCTCTGAGAATGCCTCCAGTTTGTGGGCAGAGCGCTCATCCTGAGAGAGAAACTGTTCAAGTAAGCTGAACTGTGAATGTGACTATTAGCCTTGAGACTGACGGTTGGGGAAATGTGGAATCTGGATGTTAGGTGACATTATTTCTGATACAACAATGTGACAGTGAGACAGATGATATAGTGCCTCTTACTGAACACTGACTGAGAGGCTCTTTTATGTCTGCTATGGTAACTGTGAGCAGCAGGGGGCGATGTCGCTGCATCGATCCCCAAACTGACGGTACAAACCCCTCCAGGAGGTTGTGTGTAAGTCTTTTTTGTGGTTGTCACTGGTCCCTTTGACCAGCCGACTCATGTTTGTATAAATGTAAACAGGTTATTAAATTATTGCTTTTTTATTTATTTTGGATTCTGTTCTTGGTTACTTTAGTTTCTGAGGTGAAACAGCAGAGATAGTTTTGAAGCCTCATAAAGCTTTGTGAAATCAATCCGTATGCTTTAAAACACACAAACAGGTCAATTAAAGGTAATCAATATTCAATTATTCAGAGTTAAAATAACATTGATTGCTTAAAAGTTTTCCCTTTTATTGGATTGGGAAATAATTGATTCCCTCGAGGCTGCACATTGAACAGAGCATCAAACGGCCTCTGCTGTTTCTGTCACGCTGCGTTTGGCTTTTTGCTCGTAGGAGGTCAATGTCTGAGACTAAACACTGATTGGAATCTGATTAGAATGCTTAATTGACTGTTTGAGAGCTAATGTCAATAGTGAGATTTTTTGGATTATGCTGCTAAAGCCCACAAACTCACATCATTTACTGTTTGACTTTTATCTAGGCCTCTGAAACAACATTAAAAGCAGAACAACACATTAAAACTCTCTACTGAAACTAAGTAATGAAGTAGAAGCAGGGGACCAACTTAACTTGTTCATAGGGAATACTCCAGTCAATCTTCCTCTAACATTTTGTCACTGAAGAAATAAGCTAAAATATCTTCTTGAGGCTTTTTTCTGCTACTGTGAAACATACTATCAGAGGATAGCAGTATCTGCAGACTGTGTTGGTCTAACTCTGCTATTAAGTATCAGGACTGATTCTCCTAAAATATAAACATGAATCATTTGTGTTAAATAAATAATTGAAGCCATTATAATTATAATATATTTATTGGAGGTCATGGAAGGTTTTTTGCAATGACACTTATTTAATGAGGCTTTTCTAATGTGTCTTGTGTCAGCACCCCCTGCCTCTGTGACTGCTACCCAGTGTGCCAACACAGTACACAGTCACTAATGAACCTCCTTTTATTTAGCTTAGAAAGGCTACATATGCTACCTTCTAGCACGCTAACAGGCAAAGCTGGGTTGTCGGCTAGGATTACTACACAGCATCAAAGTGAAGAGACGGAGTTAGCAGTGTTAGCTAGCTCCTGTTGGTTTGAGTGACCACAGAGAAGACAACTGAGGATTAGCCAGTTAGCTGCTATTAGCACCAGCTCTCTTTGGGCCCAGTGATATTGTAAGCTGGTAAACCAACCTAGCTTATTAGCTGCCTAGCTTGGTGGCACGTGTAGCCTTGTGGAACCAGCCTACAGTTGGTTGATTCAGAATGACCTTAGCATCCTTATTGCTCTAACTAACAGGAGCCGGTTGTATCACTGGAAAACACCAAATAATTAAACAGACTTATGAAATACAGTTCTACAGTGTAATAACAGAACTCCATTCAAACTGTGGATAAAAGAATCACAGAACCATAGGAATACGTTTCATTATTTCTGCTTTTTTTTCCTGTTCAATATTGAACTCTTTGGGGCCCCACGTTTTAAACAAGCCATTCTGTGGAATTTGCAATCTAGTTTTATAACTTGATTTCCTTATTTAACAAAGTGCACAGCACACTGGTTGTTTTAGTCCACCGTCCATTTCCTGTCCACTTCTCTGCTGTTGTCTAGAGGTCAGAACGTCCACTGTAAAACCCCTCCCATGGCTCCAGTTTTTTATTAGCCTGCTGTTAAGATGAAATTTATACTGTTTCAATTCAAATGTATATTTTATAAATGGAACTGGATAAGCAACATACAGTAATTCATTCACTGGCTATATTCTTAAATATGTTAGCGGAACAGAAAGACTTGTATTTTATATTTATATGATACCCTTGTATTATTAAGAATCATTTTTGAGTTTATATAAATCTATATGTAAAGTTCTTTTCCCTGCCGCTGTAAAGAAATGATTAAAAATGAACTTTGACCACGTGCTGTTTGTCTGCTCGCCTGCTGTCGTGCTTTTGCTTCATCAGCCGAGAATGTGATCAGGGTATCTGCAGCTGCTCGACTCAAGGGTCACTCACTAGCTTCTTTTCTTCAGAGAATGGAGTCTGTGTCACATGACCTGTATGAAGGTATGACATTATATATTGTTCAGATACTTTTTTTTTTTCAGATTTATTTTGATGGAAGCATTCTGGTGATTTTCTATATTCTTCTTAGCAAATCCCAAGTCCTGATCCAAGCTGAATTGCTTTCCGGCTGCCTCAAATTCTCACTGGAGCTTAGATTAAACAGACCCCAACAATTGCATTTGCTACAGTGACCAGCTGTTCTAGGAAGTTAGACCCTTTCAACAATAAAACTGTACATCTGTGAAGCATTTTTAAAGATGGACGTCTGCAGGAGGAACCAGTGGCTGGTTAGGGACCGTTGTGTTCTTTCTCTGGGGAAGTTAACCCGACATACGTTTGATTTGCCAGACCAAGCACGGCATCTTCAATCTGGTCCATTTAGCCAGAATGGGCTCATTACTGCCCCCTGTAGACAACATGAAAAACACTGTCAACATCCACTTTTAAATTTTAAAACGTGTATCAGATTAAATGGTAAAACTTTTAAATTGATCCCACCATGCAAAGCACTGCCTAACAGAGGCGCTACTCAGCTGAGAGAAAACCCCTTTCAAGATGTGGGTTGTGGTGAAGACAAAGGAGCAAATTGGGAGTATATTCAGGGCTTAAAAAGGTAGACGGGCCCAAAAAGTAATGATTCAGAGCTTATTACTGTGGGAATGCTGATTGGTTCATTTGCTTTCAAACCACAAACCGTTCCGGAATCGATTGGATGCAGACCAAGACTACTTAAAAGGTTGTCTCGGCCCACGGGGGTCTATCAACAGCCGTAAAGAACCACACTAACTGCAGTGGGCTCCGTTTTAACTGAACCAAACAGGTTAGGTGTGAAACCACTGTAAGACAGGACTAACAGTGTTGGCTTTCATGGGATTTGTTGACAGTATGAAATATAGAAGATCACCAGACTCTTTCTTTAAGTACACAATGTTCAGTAACTGGTGGAGCTGGAATCCTGGAACCATCCACTCTCAGACCATTACAGGACGGGGATTTTACCAGCTCGCTTCTTTCATGTTGGTTTTGAATTGAAGTCTGTTTCGTGACACATTCAGAGTGGTAAAATTGTGAGGGGGCCTGCAGATATCCTGACGTGAATCCACTGTGCCCTGTGCTTTTAACCTCTTCAAAAAGCTCCTGTGTGCTCTCCAAAACAGCAGGTTTACCATCATAAATTCCAGCTGGCCCGTGTCGGAGCAGGTGAGTGTGTCTGATCCGAGGTCAGAGCGAAGGCATTTTAACTCTGAAGGGAGGAGACGCGATAAACAGCGCTGTCGTCTTTCTGATTTCCCCTCTCTGCATCACTTCAGTCTGCCTGCTGCTGCTCACACACACACACACACACAGACACACAGACACACACACACACACACACAGTTCTGTTGAGCTCCAGATTGTCTACAATTCCTGCGTACAGTCGGACTTTAAGGTTCACCAGTTAATCAAGTAATCACTACAGTCAGCAGCTCTGATTATGTAGATTGAATCATTTCTCAGACGTACCGTCTTTGTGGGTGGGTGAGTTCCTCTGGGGGGGTTTCAGGGGTCACTGAGGACGATCCGGGGTGCCCATCTTGACGGTCTGTGAAATGCAAAAAGCTTGAGAATCACTGAGGCAGACATTAGCCGTGCAGGAGGGACTACAAATCCATCCACTTTCAAGTCTGAGATTTGATGCAACGGCTACAAGCATTCAATAACGGGCAGCGTTAGACGATCATTGTAGAGCTACGGAGGCCTTTAAGCACGACTGTCAAAAGAGTTCCCAACAAAGTACAGCAGAGTCAATCATCTCGGCAAGATGAGAAGGTTAATCCATGTCTTTGTCTACTATCTAAATCCAAGTAACGGCAATGCATAATGAAAGTAACAAAAGAAACTTCACTACAGACACGACATTAAACCTGCAACAAGGAGTTTTAACTGGTTATGAAACAGTCAGTTTAATACTGATGCCTCTATATGAGCTACAAGACCAAGGCCAACAGAGAGAAGAATGGCTACCTTTAAATAGTTATTCTTATGTCTACTACCACTTCAGATTCCCCTTGAAATCAATGAAACAAAGTGGGAGAAACACTACCGCTTTTGTCCACAGGGACCGCCAGAATCAACACAAAATACAAGTTCTTTATACGGGCTTTAATTAGAGGCCCAGGCGCAGGACCCCCCTTACTCTTGCCCTCTATACTGTTGTGTAGGTGCCAAATACATCATTTCCAGGGGAACATTTAAACAATAATCCATATACAATAGTAGGTCATTATTGTTCTAAACCAGTGGCACCACTTTTCTTCAAGGAGCCCTTTTTTATGACTTTGTATTATGTATTTTTTTATTTTTAACAATCAAACTCAATAGGCTTCATTTTTGACAAAAAACAACAACTGGAGAGTTAAATGTAAGAATAGAAACAGGGTTAGCTCACAGATAAACCTCTATCCAATCCTTTATTTCTGTATCTCTTCATTGGATGATATTCATTTTCAGTATGGTCACTCCAGTTTCTGCCCTGTTTCCAAGTCCACATATACATGGTAGCTTTGTTACATTCCCAGAAACAAATGAGCACATTTTGTTTTATTTTGGCCCATGTTTGTTTAGTTTCAGTTAGTTAGTTAGTTCAGTTACTACTCCTTGCTTTTTCTGGAGCTTTCAAGTTCAAGTCAGTTTCACACTCAAGAGTTAAAAGGTGCAGTGTGTAATTTATTTATTTTTTGTTAAGAAAAAAAAAAGTATGTGGCTGTTATAGTTTGCATACCTTTGTTTAGAATAGTAATTTGTTCCGATATAAAAAAAAGAGATCTAGGTAGGCAGCATGTGCAGCCTTTTTAAAGGTGCATTGTGTAACATTGAGGAGGATCTATTGTCAGTAATGGAATATAATATTCATAGCCAGTGTTTGGTTTGTCCGTTCTGGGCTCCTGTAGGAACAACATGGTGGGATATGTATTTGTATGTATCACAGTCGCTGTAACATCCAACATCATAGCCCTCAACACTGCTGTCTGGCTGTTGGGGGTTTAAACACAAATGTCAATACAGTGTTTTTGAGGACTGATAAAATATCACATAACAAAATTTCCCGATACGATATTTTTCAATATTTTCTGACAGCCTATATGATAAGATGACAATGTGGGACCCACTGTGTTATTATCGTTCTGTATTCCTATTAGTTTTTATTCATATTTGGTTTTAGTTCAGTTTAGTTTCAGTTAGTTTCCAGAGTGGGTTTGCTTGTTTTGGTTTAGTTTTAATTCTTTAAAATTTTTTTTACTATAATATGGGGTTATTTGTCAAGGGCAAGATTTCGGTTCAGAATAGGTATAAAACAAACACATTGACTTAAAGTCATGCAGACATCCCAGTCCAAACATAGGAACCAAAACCCACTCTTGATTGATGACAAATTTGACTAAATTGTTTGTTTGTTTTTGTTTTTCCAATGTCTAGTTTTTTATTTTTATTTCACTTAAATTATTTTTCACATCTAGTTTTAGTTTTTAGTTTGGTTTTAGTGAACTATAACAACCTTGGTTTACACACAGTGAACTGGGGGTTTTGGGGGCCCTAGGGCAGTGCCCACCTCCCCTTCTACAACCTGAGTTACTTAATATCATCAGTTAAATCATCAGTTAAGTCCACAGTTAAGTGGAGCAGGTACAACATTAATTGTGATGATCAATGAAAGAACCAGCTGATGATGTAGTGTTGCAGTGAACAGTGAATGTGCCGCGGCAGTGGTGTGTGGGTTGTTACAGTATACTCTTAAATGTGAAGGAGGAAAGTGAAAGTGGTGACAGGCAGTCGATCAAGGAGAGGCCTCAAATAAGAAACCAACGGAGTGAGAAATACAGGGGGCAGATGGGGACAGGGGCCACAGTGATGAGCAATATTGATAACTGATGTCATATTTTGGCAATTCGCAGGTACATATCACAAATGTGTGTCCTATGATGTACACAATACTCCCCATCATTCATTCTTTGTCTCTCCTCTGTTAGATTTGACAGTAATGAGGGAGTTTTATCAGCCCATATTCATGTCATATTTTATTTTATTACACAAGGAAACGGCATTTCCCTGTGTTATGCTAACAGGTCGAGCCAATATTTGGTTGATAATATAGTTGTGTCTTAAAGTATTATAGCCTCCTCAGCCACAGTTACAGCCGCTAACATCAGCGGTGTGAGGTGTTGTGTGAAATGAAGTGTGCAGAGGAGAGAGAGATACAGCGGGGACACTGGGACAGTTTGTATAGGACCTCCGACAGACTGAACTGATGTACAGAGTCAGAGAGTAGGACAGGGGTCATCGGTTAGAGCTGGACACTGACGACATTTATTATTATTATTATCACTTAAATCCCTTGTGCTGGAGTGTGGGAGCGGTTCTGAGTTGAGTTTAGACGTTATTCGATGCTAGAGAAACGTGTTTTGGTGCTGTATTTTCTTTGGTATGTGTTATATGGTCATATGTTCTGAAACGTTCACTATATCCTGACAGCAGTACATGAGACAGATAATCTGTGAAAAAGGTTCCTCTGGCTCCTCCTACATATATAAATATGTAGGCCTATATCTGAGCATTTTGTTCATTTCTGTGGAGAGACCTCAATGAAATTGTTATTTTTTAAAGTTCTGATTATTATTTAAGATCTAAAATTAAACACCTTGGCCTGCATTAGAAACGTACACAGCTAAAACAACCAAAGAGGCAAAGTGCAAGACCAAAGAACACTGACTTTGTCAAAAAGGAAGCCTAATAAGTCTGCATGATTGTTAAAAAATGTGAAATACGTAATACAGACAGTATTGCAAAAAAAGTTGCTAAAAATATCCAGAAAACGTTTAGTAGCATTTGATTTGATTTTACAAACTGCCCTTGTCGCACCGTAGTCTCTGCTTCCTCTTTGTTTCGGGACTGTCCTCAAGAAGGCGGTGAGAGTGTGTATGCCAGAGAAACCCTGTGAAACCCGTGTTTCTCTACAGTCATCACGTGGCATATTAAGTGCTCAGGCTGTCCGAGGAAGCGTGCCCTTGCTTTCTACACAGCACGACGCAGAGTCAGACCCACTACACGTACATAGAAATATATATATCTACTAAACGTGCATCATGTGTTGGACTGAAACAATTCCTTTGGTTAAATCTGAGTCAGTGTCATAAATTATAGGTGATTTACGATAAGATTGTTAACCTATGTTTGCTGAAAATATTAATATAATAATAATAATAATAATATACTGTTATACAATTTAATCTCCAGAGTTGAATCTACTTTACATTCTGATCAATCTCGAAACCCATTGGCTGTAGTCTGAGATGATTTAGGCCCTGGGGGCAACAGCCAGTGTTTTGGGGCTTCCAGTGTAGCCAGCAGACATCGGGGCCAAAACTTCCTGTGCAGTCCGATTAGCAACTCGATGCACGAGAATGACAAGACTGATTCAGCCAATCCCTACAATCATATTCAGGTGTCAGTTTATAGAGATTACATTCTGATAGGTTTACGGTGTAGTTGAAATTTGTTTAAGGCATTCCTCGGCTACAGCTACCCAAACACCTAACCGACATACAGAATTCATGAATGCCATGGTTGGAATGATAGAAACACTTCATTATCATTATTATAAGTCCGACCAGATCTTTTCCATTATACATTACTATACGTGTCCAAAGACAAATACTCCATTTCACAACAACTGAGTACATGTGGTTGTTGTCAGCGGGATTGGCCTGGTTGCCCGTTCCAAGGGAAAGTGGAAGCACTGTAAGTCTGACTTAATGGATTTTCATTTCAAGCCTGGAGGAAATACACTCCGACATCGACAGGGTGTGGATGGTTCTGATATCCACTGCATGAGATTGAAATGACATGCTTTGGTACAGAATGTCATTGAGCCCGTCTCATAAATGTGTTAACTCTTTCACCACCAGGTTGGCCTTTACATTCACACGTCACAGTTTAGAAGAGAAGACAATACAACTATTACCTGCCTGAGCCTGAAGATTACAGTTCAAATCTCTCTATTTGCTTTCTTTTTGAGGGTCAGATAAAATTGATATCTATCTCTGTGTTGCCGACCATCTAAGGCTTAATTACCAAGCAGATAAAGAGGTCCCTTTTTTTTTTTGTATTTTGGCATTTGACATTTTATTAATTAGTTTCTTTAGTTTTCAGCAGTGAAGCAGGTCCTGCATCATTTCTTCTTGTGGCCTTGTCTTATTTAAAAATGATTATCTATTTTATTCTATTTTTTAAAACCTTCATTATTTTGGTACAAAATGTGTATTTCATCAAATGGCAGGTATTATAGCTAAGCAGTAGAGGTTACTGGTTTCTGGGTCTTTGGGCATAAAATGAAGCTGTCATGTATGGTCTGATGTGTTAATCTCAATCTGACAGTTCACAGGAGGCAGGATTTGGGTTGCAGGGGCAGAGGAGTCATTTTGGGGGGTTGTGACGCTCAAAAACAGCTGCTCCTTTCACAATGTAAGCTTAAGGGAAAAGTGATGGACACCACTGCTGTCATTACACGGTTTGGCCACTATGTCAAACTGGCTTCAAAGCCCGGGGCAC